CAGAGATTCTTTTCTTGACCAAACTTTCATCAGGCCCCTGAACCTTCTCCCAGGCCCATCTGTGCACTTGCCTGTAGAATCCAGTGTTGGCAAGAACCCTGCTAAGTCCATTTAACCAGAATCCCCCCCCCACCTCCATTCCTGATCACGTTTCTCATCCTCCACCATTCCCCAGGCGATGCCTGATGACCCTGGCCTGTCTTTGGCACAGAATCCTGTTGGGTCTGTTTAGCCAGCATCCCCATACCCGCGATGCTTCCTCTTAGTCCTTTCCCACCCACTGACCTGCACCCTGCTCCTTGGCCACAAGTTCCCACGTGCCCATGCTGTATTCCGAGCTGAGCCCCATCTGTCTCCACCCCCCCCCACCCCCGGGGAATCCCATTGCAGGGGTCCCTAGACCTGTCCTGATGCTTCTGAATAAGGGCTGCCTTTCCATCTTTGTAACAGGCTGTGGGAGGGGCCTTGAGTCACATGATCTCCCAGAGCTACAGCATCCCCAAGGGATTTGCTGTCATGTGACTCGGGGCCTGATCACGGGAAAGACACATCAAGTCTCAGGGCAAGCGATGGAGGGTTAACCAGAGGTGAGGCCAACACACAACGTGTCCTCACCTTCACGTGCTCCCTGAGGTCCCTGTTCTCTGGCCGGTGCCTCTAACTAGCTGCAGCAAGGGAGAGGTGGAAAATCCAGAGCTAGCCCTCGATGGGTATGGCACAGACCAGTTTGCTAATTGTAAATTAGCTCAATTACCTTGCAATTAACTGAACTCTCTTCGTCCACGAGCGTATCTTAGGCTGGCCATGAGTTTTCTCAGCGTGTGCATCTAGGTCAGGCGGCTGCAGGGGAGGGCAGCCATAGGAGTCCTTATAATCAGCCAGTGTGCTCATTAACGCGCTTGGAAGGCTCCAAGGACAGTGTGCACTGAGAGCAACTGTTTTTTAAACCCCCCATCTTGTGGCAGGACCAGGCAATTAGGGGGCGCAAGTGAGGGGGATGGCTGAACCACAACCGCGCTAAGCGCTGCCAGGCCAACTGACGCACGCTCGGAAACACGCGCGGCCAGGCTGAGAACCTCGAGCAGTGCACCTGTGGCCAGGAGGCCTCGGGGTTCACCTGGTGACGGGTAAGGAGCGGGCCACAACCTCCGTCTTGGGCCGTGGTGGCTCTAGAGGTGACGCGAGTGTGCGCGTACGCTGCGGCACACACACAACTCACACGCAACTGTCCGCTTCACTCGGATGGAGGACCGTTTCGCTTGTCCGTCCAGCCGGATATACCACGGAGCACGCGTCTCTGCAGCACCGAGAAGGGATGGCCCGCTTCTCCCACTGAGCTTCCGTCTTGATTTCGCCTGACTCTTGATTTCGCCTCAGGTCATGATTTCACAAATTTGTGAGATCGAGTCCCGTGTCCTTGGGCTCTGTGCTGTCAGAGCAGAGCCTGCTTGGGATTCTCTCTCTCTCTCTCTCTCTCTCTCTCTCTCAAAAATAAATAAATAAACATTGGAAGAAAGAAAGGAAGAAAGGAAGGAAGGAGGGAGGGAGGGAGGGAGGGAGGGAGGGAGGAAAGAAAAAGAAAGAAAGAAAGAAAGAAAGAAAGAAAGAAAGAAAGAAAGAAAAAACTATGCTTTGGCCGTCCAGTCTGGTACTTAGCCTAATTTCGGGCAGGTGGGGGGTGGGAAAAAGAGACACGGGGAGGATGTGTAAAAGAGTTAAGAGACTAAACTTGATTTCAAGCCCCCTTGAGGCGCTCCCCAAGTATCCGTTTGCCCAAAGATGGTTGATATGCAAGTAGAAAAGGATTCTTGTCTGTCCCTCCCTGAACCAGGGTCATCTTTCGGGAGCTCTGAGTGAAAAAGGTTTTAGTCCTCTTTCAATACAATGGATCTACTGTTCATGTAATTGCCATAATTGCCATTGGTTAAAATCCACATTGATTTTATTTTACTTTTTAATTTTTAAAAAATCTTTATTTATTTTTGAGGGGGAGAGAGAGAGACAGAGCACGAGCAAGGGAGGGGCAGAGAGAGAGGGAGACACAGAACCCGAAGCAGGCTCCAGGCTCCGAGCCGTCAGCACGGGGCTCGAACCCAGGAACAGTGAGATCATGACCTGAGCTGAAGTGGGACATTTAACTGACCGAGCCACCCAGGCGCCCCAATCCACGTTGATTTCATAGTTGTGTGAAATTCGGGACTTTCGCCGGTCTGTCTTGTCTTCTTTTCCTTTGTGAGGCTTTTCCATGAACCCCTATTATCGCCACGTCTCACATAAACGTCAAGAGATTCTTTTCAAAACCTGTCCCAAAAGGCCGGCACACCTCAAGGCGACAACGTTAGTGGAAAACAAGGGCCCATCCGCGATCTACGACCCGCACACCTCACCCCAAAGCCATCCTTAGGACCTTGGCGGTGGTCTTACAGGCAGGGTGATCGCGGACGTGCGCTGCCATCAGCGGGGACAACAGTCCCCGGCTCCATCACATGCAAATCGACTTTCCAAACAAATAGTTTAATCCTGAAGTGCAATTCACAGACAATACGACTTGCCTACCGCATCGTTTGTAAAACGCCCTTCCTGTGACACACGGGGAAGTAACAAGGTAAAGACTTAAATGTCAGGAAGGCATGCCAGGTGCACGTCTGACGACCGTCAGGCAGGAGATCAGTGGCAGATTCAAGGAAGGAGGACATCTGACGCCTGCACCAGATTAGATTCGGCGAGCCTCCAGGTAGGCAGGCAGGAGCTACGGACGCGGACTCGGGGTTGGGGGGGGGAGGGGCGGCGGGGAGTGCCACAGCGGCGAGGGGCACCGGGAGCAGCCCTGCCGGTCCCGACGGGAGACGCAGAAACCGTGCACAATTCTGGGTGAGGCGCTGGCCAAGAAGAGAAGCGCACAGCTTGCGCCGCTTCCCCGACAGCCGCATTTCCCCGACAGCCGCATTCCTGCGCGAATTGGCGTGGACTCGAACCGTGCCAGAAAGTAGGTTATTTGTCGGGCCGTTGCTTCTGCTTCGGTGGCGTGCTTTCCGCGTTACGGGGAAAAGAAAGGTCGGCCCTGCGGCGGCAGCGGAAGTGCGGGCTGCGGGGCCTCGTGGCCCGGAGGCGCAGGCGACAATAGGATGAGGCTTGAGGCCTGACGCCTGCGGCCTGCAGGGAGCGCGCATGCGCAGGAGCGGATTGTCGGCTGCTCCGGGAGGGAGGGGGGAGCTGGGGGGCGGGGGGAGAGCGGGGGGGGGAGGGCGGGGGGCTCACATCCACTTCCGGCCCAGCCCGCGGCCGCTCCAGAGCTGCGCGGTGGCGGCTCCGACACGTGTTGTTGGCTTTGGATGCCCAGATCGCAGGTATGTCGTGCGGTGCTTTCCCGGCGCGCGTTTCTTGCCGTCCATTTGGAAGTTAGGCTGGTGGCTGCACTGTGGAGTGACGGCGTCTGCAAGACTCTACCTCTACCTCCACGTGAAAGACGGGACCTTCACCCGGCTCTTCAAGGCGCTTGCACTTGCGCTTGCCCTTCTCTTTAGGGCCCCTGTTGTGCCACGATGCAGCAGGCTTTAGAACGAGCTCTGGACCGTGCGGAGTATGTCATTGCCAGTGCCCAGCAGAGGCCTCCTAAAAGGAAAGGCTCAGCGAGTGGGGGCGCATCTCTGGATGAAAAACTTTATGACCTGTATGTGGAAGAATGCGGGAAAGAGCCTGAGGCTACGGAGGAATTAAGAAGCAACGTGAACTTGTTGGAGAAGCTCCTGAGGAGAGAGTCGTTGCCGTGCTTAGTGGTCAACCTATACCCAGGAAAGGAGGGATATTCGCTGATGCTCGAGGGCGAAAATGGATCCTATTCGGAGACCATTCGACTGCCTTACGAAGAAGGGGAGTTGCTCGAATACTTGGATGCTGAACAATTGCCTCCTGCTCTGGTGGATCTCCTGGAAAAATCTCAGGTTAACTTTTTTCACTCTGGGTGTGTCATAGCCCAGGTACGGGACTACCGGCAGTGCAGTCGGGAACCTCCCGGCTACGCGAGCAGGCACGTTCTCCTGCGGCCAACGATGCAGACGTTAGCCTGCGACGTGCAGTCCATGACCAGCGATGACCAGACCTGGACCCAGGAAGACAGGCTTTTGCTGGAGAGCCAGCTGATCTTAGCCACGGCCGAACCGCTGTGTCTCGATCCTTCTGTATCAGTAGCCTGCACTGCAAACAGGCTGCTCTATAACAAGCAAAAGATGAACACTGGCCCCATGAAAAGGAGCTTCAAGAAGTATTCTGCACCCTCCCTGAACCGGCAGCAGGAGCTGTCTCATCGTCCACCTCCTCCTGAGCTGAGAGTATGGGCCTCTTGCAAGAAAAGCAGAGAAAGGCAAGCAGGTCCGCAGCACGACCTCAAAATTTCTAAAGCGGGGAACTGCATCGATATGTGGAAACAGAGACCCTGTGACTTGGCCGTACCTTCCGGAGTGGACGTGCAGAAATACGCCAGGAGGGAGAAGTCCGCCAGATACGATGGCTCGCCACCGACGGCCTGGCCAGCCCACAAGGTAGAAGGTGATTCCGTATTGGGCTATGAAGCTGGCGGTGAGTCTCAGACAGCGCAGCTGACTTCTGTGCAGCCGCCGAATGACCCACCTTTGTCTGGAAGAAGAAGGCCCTGCAAAGAAGCCAGACGTGAGGGACAGGGGTCTCCTCCGCACTCCTCCACAGATGACCATCCAGACAGTGTCCGGCCTGGCTCAAAGACGGATGCTGGGACGGAAGCCATTCGGTCAGCTGTCTTGGTCCAGCGCAAGGCCAAGTGTCCCGCCACCGCGTCACACGGCTCCAGTGGCCCAGCCAGCCTCAGCCAGCCGCCTCCCGGGAAAGAAACAGCACAGCCTGAGACGGTGTCGGTTTGGTCTTCAGTCCTGGGGAAGGGAGTCAGCCATCCACCTCTACGCTTCAGACTTTCCTGGAGCTCAGGAGGGACTCGGTCGGGCAACAGTTTCACCCCAGTGGAGGCAAGCGGCTTCTTTAAATCTCCAGCTCCTGCTCCTGCTCCTGCTCCTGCTCCTGCTCTTGCTCCCGCTCCTCAGCCCCCGAGTCTTTCCCAGAATTCGTCTGTGGACGTGAATCGAGTGAGCATGTTTCCCGCAGCTGCCCTGTCCAGCAGCAGCTCGCCACAAGGAACCCTGGCCCCTCCGGTCACGGCCAACTCCCAGCAGTTCCCTGTGAGAGTGATTCGAGTTAGCCCACTTCCTGCAGCCACACCGTCCACCGCCGGCTCATCAC